TATTGGCAGTACAGAGTACGGGTGCTCCTTAGACATGTGGGGCGTAGGTTGCATTTATGTTGAAATGGTGACGGGACTGCCTACTTTCCAGGTGTTCGTGACACTCAAGATCAACTCATTAAATATTTAAAGTAAGTGTAAAATAGTAATTAAAACTTCTACGTATGTATTTTTATGTATATGTTTAAGTGTGATTTTTATTTTATGAATTGAAAGCCTTCAATTTAATCCAAAAAGTAATTTATTTATTTCTTGAAGGAATAGGAAGATTACTTGTCAGTAGAGTCCATATATCCAAGTTTGCACGTCAGTAGAGTCTCGCTTCAAAGTTTGCTCGAGAGGAGACTCCTTGTTTACAAATTTTGATTTTTTTCTAAATCTGCTCGTCAATAGAGTCCTCACATCTAAGTTTGCTCGTCATTAGAGTTTCTTTTCCAAAGTTTGTTCGTCAGTAGAGTCCCCTTTTCTAAGTTTGCTCGTCAGTAGAGTCTATCTTTCAAATTTGCTCATCAGTTGAGTTATATAATCCATTTGTTAGTATACTTTTTATTTTTAAGTATGGGTAGAGTCTCCTTGCCAAGTTGCTCATCAGTAAAGTTTCTATTTCTTAGTTTGTTCGTTAGTAGAGTCCTTACATCTGAGTTTGCTCGTCATTAGAGTCCCCATTTAGAGTAGAGACTTTTTTTTTCTAACATTGCTTGCCATTAGAATCTCTTTATCTAAGTTGTATCGTCATCAGAGTCTCTTTTTCTAAGTTTGCTTGTCAGTAGAGTCCCTCTTTTGTAGTTTGTTCGTCAGTAGAGCCCTTTTTCCAAATTTGCTCATCAGTAGAGTTAGTTTATTAGTTTGCTCGTTCGTATGGTTCTTATTTTTAAGTTTGCTCGTGTGAGTAGAGTTCTTTTTTCGAAATTGGCTCAAGTTCCTATTTCTTAGTTGGTTCTCTTTTTTTTTCTCAATTTTTATTTGGCCTCACTTATTCTGAGCATTTACTCATTTAGCCACCTACAGCATTTTTATTTATTACATTCATATTCACTCTATATATATCCTATTCTAAAATCTTCTTAATTTTTTCTTCTTCAATTTCTTTAATTATTTTTTTCTTCAATTTTTGCTCTTCATTTCAAATTTCTAATTCTATTCAACTTCTATCTTCATTCCATTTGTTTCTTCATTTTTCTTTTTTTTTAATTTCCGCGAGTTCTATTATTTTTTCTTCTTACTTCTAAATACAATTCAGCTACTCGAATTCTGTAATTCCTATTTTTCTTAATTTTCATTCAAATTCTACTTAAAAATACAATTTTATTTAATTTCAAATTAACTACATATTTTTTTCATAAATTCTAAGTCAATGATAAATCAATGACAGGATTCGATCCAAAGATCCCTGTCGTGTGAGTCGAACACACTGCTATATGGGCTATGTTCGTTAGTAGAGTCCTTATTTCTAAGTTTGCGTGATTATAGTCACTGTTTTTTTAAGATTGCTCGACAGTAAAAATATTTTTCTATGTTTTCTCGTCGGTAGATACCATATTTCTAGATTTGGTCGTAGTTGGAGTTCCTTTTTATAACCTTGCTCGTCGGTATAGTCCCTTTTCCAAGTTTGCTTGTCAGTAGAGTCCATATTTCTGAGAATGCTCTTCAGTAGAGACTTTTTTCTGAGATTGCTTGCCATCAGAATCTTTTTATTTTGCTCGTTTTTTTTACGTTTGCTCGTCAGTACAGTCCCTTTTTCCAAGTTTGCTCATCAGATCAACTTCTTACGATATTTAAAGTACATATAAATGAATAAAAATAAAAACTTGTTTGTATGTATTAACATAAATTGTTTAAGTATTTCTAGATAGCTATTATTTGACTTCATTTATATATTAATTAACTTTCATCTTATTTTTTAATTATGATTTTTAAATTTATGAATTAAAAGCCTCCTTTTTCATTCAAAAAGTAATCTATTTAATTTCTTGAAGAAAGAAGGAAGTTTTTAACTCAGTATCTTAAATATGATATTTATATATTATTAAACTAAAAATATTTTTCTTTATTTAGATTTTAGGTACTCCAACAGAACAGACGTGGCCTGGCGTATCACGATTGCCTTCGTACAAGCCTCGAAAATTTTATTATTATAAGTAAGTATTAAATATAATATAATCGCACCCCGACTTACGAGTGATCCGACATACGACTTCCTAAAGGAGCAGTTTGTTGCTTCGACATACGAGTAAAATACAAGATACGAGCTTTGAGCTTAAATTTATTTTTAATATTCAAAAAATGAAAACCACAATGCTGCAATTTATGTCATTCAACTGTACTTACCTATATTATAAATCTTTTTTTTTTAAATATATCTTGTATCATTTTATATTTTATTACTCTTTCAGGTCTCGTAGGTTAGGTTTAAGTTTTCCTCGACTGCACGATTCTCCTGATGGTGAATCAGTGGCCGAGAGTTTGTTGCAATTGAATCCGGATGACAGGATAGGGGCTGACGAGTGCCTGAAACACAGATATTTCAGCTCGTTGCCCCCCAAACTACACGAACTGCCTGACGGTAAGAAATATAATAAATAACTAAATTTTATTGAGGCATCTTATAATAATGTATATTTTTCAGAGGCTTCAATATTCAGTGTAGAAGGCGTATTCCTTTACCCCGAACACAGACAAGCCGGGATCAAGTGAGACAACAACTTGAAAATAAGTTTAGTATAAACTTATGAGATTTCATAACGAAACTATGATTAACAGACAAGATGCCAAAAAATATATATTTATTTACATATACAGCGGAAGACTTTTGGTGGCTTTCCTCTTTAAAGCCAGAAGTGATATTTCTCTAAAAGTGTGTCCATTATCGACCAAAGTATATGTACATCCATATATATAAGTATACGAATGTATTGTGAACGAGTGATGTGATAAGCGTAAATTTATTTGTTTGTTGTTATTTTATAAAAAGAAGAGAAACAAATGCTGCAAAGATAACGAACGAGATGACTAATTGAGTTTCTGAGTCGGGCCTAGAGAACATTTATTAAAATAAAATACATTATGAATAGAATTTAGAGTAAATGTAGAAATTATAGAGAATTACATATGCATATATGTATGTTGCAGTAGAATTTATGTCGGGCGGTACGTTAGTGAAAAAAGTAAAGGACTTTTTTTATTGAAGTATTTTATATTATGCTTTTTACCTTTTATGTGCAATATTATGCCTTGGGATATATATATATATATATATATATATATATATATATATATAATAAAATATTTTCAAGCATGTATCCAGTAATACAATTTTTTAGTGAAGAAAAGTTTTGACTTTATTAAAACTGCAAATGTTTTGAGACTGAATTTGGGCTCATATTTCATATATTAATCAAAATGATAATACTTAGCAATTGTTAAATTTATTATTATAGCAATTGAACAAGTGCTAAATGTATAAATAAATAAATGTAAAAGAAACACTTTACATATAAACACAGAGTAATAAAATAAAATATAAAATGAAAGGTTTCTTAGTTTTTATTTTCTAATTATTTGTATCCACTGAAGATGAGTCAAACTCAGACTCAAAAGTTTTGCAGGTTTATTAAAAGTTTTTTTTTTATTAAAAAATTATGTGTATAATATATATATATATATATATATATACACATTAGTTTTATCGAGCCAATATACTTTCTTGTCATTCTTTTACATTTTTATACATCAACAAAAATATTGACTCAAATCATATCGCTATAAATAATAATGCCAATCATATTCTTTCAAAAATATAATTTCAATTATACTCGTGTGCATTTATTTCAACTGTCGAGTTAAATGATTATATTGCCCTAAAATCTTCCCATATATTTTAGTACTGGTTTACTTTTTTTTTTATTAAATTCAAATACATTTTATATTTATAATATAGTAAAGACATTTTTTTTTAAATTATAACAGTTGACAAATATTTGTAATTATTATATTTGTTATATGTTTATTATAACATTAATGTTATTATTTGCATCAATAATATTTTGATAGATGATTTGAGTCAATTTACTTTGTATACATGTGCATGATTTTTATACATTTTAATTTATAAATATATTACTAATTGTGATTGTTAAATTTCTTAACTGTAAGCCTCCATTTTTCTTAAAAATCTTATTTATTTCAATTTCTTTACTTTATTGGACGTTTGGTGAATGGAAAAAATCTGTATAAGATTTCACTGCTTACTTTAATGTCTCAGATTTATAATAATTAAGTAAGTGTATCAATGTATAATTAATTTTTTATTAGTTTATCAATAGTTCTCATATCACTGAAACATTGAATAAAAACATTAAAAAAAATATATATACATATATAAATAAAGAATTTTTAAGAAAAAAAGGGGCTTTAGCTAAGAAATTTAACAATCATATTATATATCTATAAAGTGTATATATTATATATTTTACTTTGCTTGGTTTTAATACTTTTTTATATCGAACTAGGTTTCTTCGAATTATTTTAATAATATAAATAGCATTTTCAATTGTATATAATTTTTTAAAAACGTAAGACATTTCGGTTTTTTATATTTGTTGGCGGAATGTTTTGAAAAGCTGATAGAATGATATTTTAGCAAATTCATTATAAATATATATATATATATATATATAATATATATATATATTTGTATATGGATAAAACAAAAGTAGATAGAAAAATAGTAGACGATTTCAATCAAATTTCTTTTAAAATTTTATAGAACGTTTTCAGTTCATATAAAATTAGTCGAAACACAATAGACAACTCTAGTTGTAGGTAGATGGTGCACTTTTTAGATACAATTATTAAAATTAAGTGAAAAATAGTGTCAAAATCTGCATGCACACATTCGTTCAACACACCAATAAGTATTTAAACAAATTCATAAACACACATTCAAATAACAATTTATTTCTGTATATCATCTTTTTTTTTTCAATGTGTGTTTATGCATTTGTATATAAATACTAAAAACTCTAGTAAAATCCTGTGATATAATTACCCTCATCCAATAAATATTTTAACTTTTCTAAAAAAAATTATACATAAAGTTATTGATTTCTAGACGAATACAAGTGAATAAAAGGTTTTTTCAGACGATGAAATTGGATTTTGTTGTCTGGAAAAGTCTTCTTTTTTAGATTTTACCTAAAAACTCTGGCGAAGGAACACCATTGATGTTGCATGTAATTATATCTGTGTCAACTGCATATTAGTTATTTCGTAATATATACATACACATGTAATAAATTATATATTTATATATATATATATATATATATATATATATATATATAAATAAATTGAAATATGTGTATGTATATTATTAAAATTATATTGCATACTTAGGTCATGCCTAACTTATCTAATAAAATATTAATATAATAATATTGATTATTCTAAATATTATATTAATTTAATTGAAAATTGGTTTCAATATTAATAAATCTATACAGGTATTTATTTTTGAAAAAAATGAGAATCTCAGTGAAGACATTAGTTAAAAACTTTCACCTAAAATTAATCATTCTAATGAATAATAGTTAATATTTATAATTATATCTAAAAAATATAGTTTTTAATGCTAATTATAAATATTTATATTATATTGTACTTCTTTATAAATATTTTAAATAATTTTTAAAGAATATCTGGGTATGCAATATAAATATTCTTCATGCACAGCACTGCCTATATGAAACTATATATATATATGTATATTTTCAAACATACATATATAATTATTTCTACATACATATATACATATATCTACATATGTTTATATGTATTGAAATTTATATATCAATGTATAATGCACACTTTTACCCTCCTGTATTTGCGTCCATTTTTAGCTTTTACGGCAAAATTTGAATTAAAAAATTAGTATAACTATGAAAACTAAAGATGTTTAAGATTAATTTCTTTGCACGATTTGGGTTTGAAGTGAAACTTCTTTAGAACTATCTTTGCATTTATTGTAATTCCGAAAATAGTTTTATAAACATGAAACTTTGATTAATTTTTTGAAATAATCTTCATACTTCATTAAGTTTAATTCTAGCAAAGAGTTACAGTTTAGACTTTTGTAACTAGTGATGCATAGTCGTTAACACTAAATCTAATTTTCTATCATTTTCATTACAATTCAACAGAATTTTTAAAATATTTTTTACATTTTTTATATTACAAGTATTATATTGTTTAGTCTTTTTTATTTTTTTCATATCAATATTGTAATTTTATTATAAATGGCTAAATAAATATCATATTCTTATGTCTGCCCCTTAACTTGCCCAAAGAAGTTTCACTTCAAACTTTATAAAACTAGATTCTTGAAAAGACGACGATTTTTAGAAGACGATTCTATATGTGATTTGATTATTGTATTGAAAGCTTTTGGCTTAATGCTGCTTTTTGGCAATTTTGACGAGCACAACTAATTAATTAGTTGAATTTTATTTTAAAACATGTATTAAAAATTATATATATATATATATATATATATATATATATATATATATATATATATATATATATATAATTTTCAATTCATGTGTCTATTATTATGACCAGACAGACGATTGACGATGATGTTGTTTATTATTGTAAATAGATAATTTTAGTTTATAAGTTTCTATATGATAATAATTATGATTCTAATTTCTAATTATTGATGATGATGATGATAGATGATGACTCTATATACATAAATATATATAGAAATATATCTATATATGCAATTATAAATATAAATATAAATAAATATATTGTATGTAAGAAAATTCTAATGATTAGGAACAAATGAGAATAAATGTCTTTATAATACTAAAACTTTGTTTATATATTTTTACCTTCTAGAAAGAAAGATAAAATATGATAGTGATAGTAAATCAACGAAGTAAATCAATCAAATTTATATTTATTATTATTATACTTCATTTTTATACAAAATTCCTGATAAATTATTCATGTTACATATTATTTCGAAATATTTGTTATAATAATTAATAATTATTTTTATCCCAAAGCATGTGTAATATTATGCACTCGTTGACTTTTACCTTCTTGCAGAGCCTTTTCTAAAACCTGAATCATTTTACACAAATTATTAACATCGGTTTGCATCAATATTTCCTTCTTCTTGAACAAACTCTGTTCCTCATCATTTTTGGGCTCATTTTTCAACCTCAAACTCTCACCCTTCGATATTTGTAAAGTCAAAGTAATCACAGGCATGCATTGTTGTTTCAAATACCTCGAAGCCACTTGGACCTCGAATCTCCAAAATAAATCTACATAGTAGTTTAAATTTGGTCTTCTGAGGATGAATACTTGTTTTAAAGACTCTGCGGAGTTGTCATAGAGTTTTTTGAGAGTGTTTGATTTGGGTTCATCGAATCCTAGAGTGGTAATGCATTCTTTGAATTCATCGCTGTTTAATTTTTGTTTTGTGCATTCTAGGAAGAAGTGTAAGATCGTAGCAGTCGTGGCGAGGTCTTGGGGGTGAGTGAAATTTTCTGCAAAGAAATAACATACACATAATGTAATTATTTCGGTATATATATATATATATGTATATATATATATATATGTATATATTTGTAAAGTATGTCTTTATTACCAGACATTTCATTGTTTAAATAATCTGAAAGCTGCGTACATAATTTTTCAAGATTTTGTTGAGGTAGTTGAGTTATTGTCATAAGACTTTGTTTACAATCATTAGTTAAAGAAAAAGCCATAATTAATGTGTTTCTAAAGTATTTTGTTTATATTTAATTATTTTAAGACATAGTCTTAATTTTGTTCCCACATGCATTAAATGGTTTAAAATAATTTCAATACTTTTCATTAACGTTTAAAACTACATTTATAATTATTTATTACATTTTTTAAATATATTTGCACATTAATTTAT